GTCTTATCTTAAAAACTCTTGTGAATTTTGTATTCAAGTCCATAAAATCAACTGCCTTATTTTTAGTAAAACAGTAACATTCCACATTATTTACAACTAAATTGTTTGGCTCTGTGCATGTTCTCCCATGTGGACAGTTCAGCATCACTCCACAGGTGCAAAGGAGGATAACTGGGAGGTGGACTGTGGGTCTGCAGGAGGGAGGGAGCCAGGCAGGGAGCAGCTGGTCCAAAACACCCTGGAGAGTCACTATAGGAGGGAGAAAAAAACGCCCAGAGGCTTCTGGGGGCCAGTCTCACAGCTGGAATGGTGTCTCCTGTTGCCACTGGGCTACCCCCAGGGTCTCTAGGTCAGTGTGTGGTCTCTGGCTCCTGGTGGGCGGAGCCTGCTCTCAGGGGAGTGGCTGGAAGGAGGACAGCCACATGGGGGAGGAGGGCAGGCAGCCTGGAGATGGGGGGGGGCAAGCCAGGGACCACCCCAGCTACACATCTTCCATCTGTTAGCATAGAGGGTTTGGTCAGAGCAGAAGGCCAAACTGGGAGGCCAAATCTTGCTTTTCCTTCTCTCCACCTCCTTAGTAGGGAGTAGCTCTCCCTACTCTCAATCTTTCCAGATGTCTAACCCTGAGGCAGGCTGCCCTGGAGGCTGGCTTACTGGATAACCCCCTCTGGCCCTGGTGGGTGCCCACCCTGCCCTGGGTCTTCCTATGCAGGAAGCAGGCACCTAGTGTCTGAAGTCGGTTCTAGCCCCTGCTCCCCACTCTGCTGGAGATGAAAAGGTCCCTCCCCTGCCCCTGAGGGTCAGCAGGAGGCCTGCCCTGGTGGCCAGCTGGCGAGCCCAAGAAAGCTGCATCCAAGCCTCACTCCAATCCTCTCGCCCAGCAGAGGCCCAGCTGCCTGAGAAGCAATTGAAAATAGAGTCTAAGCCTAAGCAGCTTAGTGGGGTTCCAAGAAGGGGGCCAGTGGGGTGGGGTGGGGCCCAAGGGACCCTGGGGCTTCTAAACCTGGCCTTGGGAAGAATTAGATGGCTGCAAGTGAAAGAACAGTGCACCCAAAAGTCCCACTCATCTTCTATTCCAGGGACAGGAGTCACTTAAAGGTGTCCCAGTGCCCTTGGTGAGATGGGAGCCCCACCCCCTCGGCTCTAGAGCCGCAGTGTCAAATGGCCTGGGTTTATTCTCTTTGCAAACACAGGCACGGGGAGACCATCTAAACGGACAGCACATCCTCTCCCTGCGAGCACAGCCCCGGCTGTCGGCTGTCTGTGTCTGCAGGACCCAGGGCAGACAGAAGAGACATTCCCCAGAGTCCCTCCACAAACGTCTCCAGGGTAAACTCAGTCTGCCTGCCTCTAGCCTAGAAGATGTCCCACTGCCTTCCCAAATGCACAGCTGGCCTGCCCGAAACACTCTGGGATCAGGCCCTGGGAAATCTGTGCTGAATTTGCACCTTTGGGGTAAGACATGGTGAAAATGGTAGTTCTCAGAGTAGCCTGGCCAAAGCCAGCCACCGTCCCATCCACCCCGTCAGCCCTCGCTGCCCCCTCTCCCTGGGATACTCCTTTCCATCCCTCTTGACTCAGCTGATGCCTGCTCAGGCTTGATGTCTTAGGTCTGGGAAGCCTTCCTGCCACTGGGCTGGATTAAGCTCTTTTGATGCGTCTGGTGGGCACTCATTCACTCACGCACACATTCACAGGACAAAGACGAACTGTGGCCTACAACCTGCGAGCCTGTGGTAGGCAGCGGGGGCCCAGGCAGCCAGGGCTGGGGGTGGGTGGGTAGGGGAGAAGCCACCTAGCGCTGGCGGAGGAGCTGCAGCTCCTGGGACTGGAAGCGCTGTGCTTCCCAAGGGCTGCGCGAGCTAGCTAAGTGGCCGAGGCAGCACCCCCTTTCTTCTCCCCCCACCCATCTCTTCCCTCGGTCTCCGCCTGCATGGCTGCGCTAGGCTGACATTTTGGGGCCAGGGTGCCGAAGCACGTCGCCGGAGGAGATCGCCCCCCACCCGGCCCTGCGGCTCAGACCAACGCTGCGCGGAGAACAAAAGCTGCGCCCCCGCGGCCGCGCGCGGGCGTGCGGGTTTGCGGCGCTCCTCGCTCGTGCCCCCGCGCGGCCTTCCGTCTGGCAAACATCCATTTCAAAAATCAAACGAAGGCAGAAATCCTCTTCCCCAAACATTTCTCCCCCGCCGGGACGGGGGAGGGGCGGAGAGCGCCCCCGCGATCGCGAGCTGGGCCACGGAGGCGCAGGCAGGGCCGGCCGCTGGGCTGCGAGCG